TCAAGAGAGGAAAGTGAGAGGTTTGGAGTGAATTCAACTTGACTTTGTGCATTGGCTTGAAGAATTGGAATATAGGTTGCAAATTAAGCTTCCTCACCTTGTATTTGAGGACCAAGGTAGGGAATTTACCCTCTTAATTGTGTATTTAAATTGATTCTTGCATGGTTCTTGCCAAATTGAAGAGCTAAGTCATGAATTAGTTCTAGCATGTTGAGTTATAGTTATAATCTTGCATGCATGTTTGTATTGTTGAGTTTTAAGTTGTTTTCATGGCAAAATGTTACATGCATGCTCATAATTATGTTTAAGTCCATGATTTCATCTTGTTTTGAAAAGAATCGGCTCATTAGAGCATGTATTAAAGTTTTGAATTGATTTCAACTCATGCATGTTTGCATGTTCATCATGTTCATGAAAATTGGTTTGAAATTGAGTGTTTGAAACACCTTTGGGCTTTGATTTTACAATTGAGCTTTGGAATCATGTTAAATTATGAGTTTTGGAATGTTTTCTGGAAAATTGGCCCAAGAGGATCGGAATTTGTGCATTTGAACTCGATTTTGGGCTTGGAAGTTCAAATCTGGAAATTCCAGATTTTGAACTCCCGCTCGAGCGGGGAAAGTGGCACTCGAGCAGGAAATTCGTGCTCCCAGTACTTTGCACTATTTTGACGTCCGCTCGAGCGGAATAATTGACGCTCGAGCGGGACCTTGTGTATTACGCTCGAGCGGCTATCGAGCGCCCATCGAGCGTGATTTTCACTTATCCAGTACTTTTACCCTGTTTTGTAAAACGCTCGAGTGCGAAAATATACGCTCGAGCGGATACCTTTGTCTGCATGTACGCTCGAGCGAGGAAACCTACGCTCGAGCGAGACCTCTGTTTTCTGAAAAATGTTTTAAAGTGCATCTTTGCATCCTCATTTCATCCTAGGCATTCTTAGGCCTAGTTTAAGGCATCTTAATGAGGATATAAATGTAGAACACACCGAGGCAAATTAGGGATTAAGTTATTATCTTTTTTAACTGTGTAGCTTAGTGTGTGTGTTCGTCTTGTAAACTGTGTAGGGTTGGCATCCGAGGACGCGCTCTAGCTTAACTGTAGCCCAGAACTCTGTGAGTAACAACTGTGTAAAGATATGTTCAAAGATGAATATTTTCTGACTGTTAACTGAACTGCTTTCTGAATTGTTACTGTCAACTGAATGAATGTATGTCCTATATTCTGAACTGTATTGTGGCATCCTTAGCAACTACTGTTTACTGTTACTGCTATTGTTACAGAGATCTCTGTCAGTTCCTATCTTGGAACTTCTGTTTACTGTTATGATGGCCATCATTGACTGTTCGGTCTCTTAAAACCTACTGTTTACTGTACTGCTATGCTAATGGATGTACTACAATGACTGTAACGACTGAATAACTGATATACTGATTGAAATGATTGTTTTCAATACTATAAAGACATTCATTCTTAACCTCTTTACGCATTATGTTATTCACTGGGTTTTAACTCACTGTTTATATATATATGTAGGTGTACAGGCACCAGACTGGAGCTAGGAGCGTGGGTTAGACTCCCTTTTTGTCAAGCCAACCACTGTGCCTCACTGCGAGGTTCCGAGCCTGCCAAGCTATGGCTTATGGGTGTTTTAATTTCCCCCGTCTGTCTCTGTATCTGTTTTGTAATGTTGTATAGACTGATAGCACTGTACTGTACTGTTTAACAGGGATTAGGTCCCTGTTCTGATCGACTGTAAATGTTGTACATACTGTTCTGTATTGTTCATGTATATACGCATGAAAAATCTTTTTGCATACAGACTGTCACAGCTCATTGGACACTGTTTATTTACTGTTTTGGCTTCCGCCATGCCCCTGTACTCTGTATTATTGTCTGACTGTTAAGCAAGCCTTTGGTAATCTCGGATTACTGGCTGGTTACGGTGCTAAACCCATAAGGGCAGGTTTGGGCCGTGACAAGAAGATTCAAGGTCTCCCTAGACAGATCGCCGGAAATCGCGCAAACTTGAGATTGGCCTTGATGGTTATTGAGGCCTCGTTTGTGAACATGCTATTTTAGTAATTTTTTAGTTTTTTGACTAAAATATGAGGTAAAAAAATTAGTATGTTTAGAATGACTTTTGACTTTTTACAAAAAGATGTACAAAAAATAAAGAAAAAATGAAATCTTTGACTTTTTTGTATAAGTTGTTGGCTTTTTAATTTTTTTAGTAACTTTTTGACTTTTAGACTAAAACAGTTACTTGCCAAACGAGGCCTAAGTAAGGATAAAAAAACTTCTTTTTTTCAAAAGAGGATAAATCTCTCTAAAAGACAAAAAAAGATAGAAAAAAAAAAGTTAAATAACTACAAATAGCGTAAATAATCACAAAAAACTTCTGGATGATACATTGACCCTGTTTGGTAGGGCTTATTTCTAGCTTATTTCAACTTTTAGTTTAATTTAAGCTATTTTGATGTGTTTGGTTCAGCTTAACAATACAACTTATAGATTTTTGTAAGCTAAAAATCAACTTATTCTTTGAGTGGATGAGGAAAAATTTAATTTATAAGTCAAAAATCAACTTATGTTCACAATTATAAATTATAAGTTGTTAGGTTATAAGTAATAATCACTTTTTCACAATTCTATCAAACGGGGCTACCTAATGAGTCAGAAGCAGCAAAAGCATGATTCAAGTTGGTACGCCCTACCAGTACTACCTTGCCTAAAGCTACCAAAGAAAGTGAAACTCTGGAAAGAGACATGGGCCCTAAAGCAAGAGAAAGAAGGTTTTCAACAAGTTTTGTAACAATAAATAAAAAAAAATAGTGAATTATATTAATAGTCTCTATAGTTTGAGATTTGTATCATTTTAGTCTCTGAATTTTTAATTGTGATATATTTGATCATGAATTTTGAATCTTGTTTCAAATAAGGACAATTGAAGATATTATTAGATTTTTTTAAGGGTAAAATCGTCAATTTGATAAAATATAAACTAATTTGACAAAAATAAATGTTAAACAAATATTTTTAAATTTTTAAAAATTATTTCTACCCACTAAAAATAAAATTATGTAAAATTGATAAATCTTTTAGACATTTATTTTTTTTTTACCAAATTAATTTTTATTATGTGTTTAGATGATGATCATGTAAAATTAATTTTTAAAAATTAATCATGTAATTTTTATTAATTTTACATAATTTTATCATTGGTGGATAAATATAATTTTTAAAAAATTAAAAATATTTTTTTGACATCTATTTTTGTCAAATTAGTCTATATTTTATTAAATTGACGATTTTGTCCTTGGTATCTTCAATTGTCTTTATTTGGAACAAGATTAAAAATTCATGGTCAAATACGTCACAATTGAAAAGTCAGGGACCAAAGTGACACGAGTCCCAAACTATAAAGACTGTGTAATTTGTCCATAAAAAAAAGACCACTTATCAATAAGCCTCACATATAAAGTTTAAAATTCATCTAATCACAAAACAAAATACTTATATCAATTAGTCTTATATATTTTTAATTATTACAAAAAAATTTCTTTTTTTATATATAAATTTAAAAATGCTGTTATAGCTCACCACCGCTAGACTTCCGTCAGACGGTCATCGGAGACTTGCCGGAATATTCAACATCACCAAGAAATTTGTCGGACTATCACCGGAAGTTCGTCGAAATATCACCGGAGTGTTCTGAACGTCACTGAAAGCTGTCGAAATGTCTAAAATGTTCGCTGGACGTCAAGAAAATCATCAGATATTCACCGAAATATCCAGAATATTGTCGAGAAAAAAATAAATGTAAAAATTATAGTGAAAAAATATAACAAAATGTACTAAATATTAATAACTTGAAAGGAAAAATAAATAAATAAACACAACAACAATGGGAAAATATATTTTATTTTTTAATTTTTGTAAGATTTAAACAAATAATTTCTAATATTGATTAAACTGAAAAGCAAATTTTGAAACTTTTAAATGTTACAGTTTCAAAGTATGATTCTATTAAGCATTTATCTTTATTAATTAAACTAAAAAACATGTTATGAAACTGTAAAAAATTTCAGTTTTAAAACATGATTCATTTCAGTACTAAAAAAATTAAAACTATAAAATTTTACAGTTTTCACCGCATGTACCTAAAACTTGAAACAATTTGTTCAGAATTTTAAAAAAAATTCTACTAATACAAAAAAAAAATAGAAGTGTATAACAGAGAAAATGTAGAAAAAATTAAGAGATCGAAAGAGAAACAGATATATAAAGAAGATTGTACTCCGAAAACTATTTTTTGTTTAGATTTAGTCTATTCTCATGTAAATTTACTCAGATCTGATGTAGATCTGAGTAGATTTACATAAGATTTAAATAGATTTACTCATCTTCTTCGTTGAAAACTTGTCTCCTTCGCCATCAGTGGCTGCCGATGAACCTCAATTAATAGTGATCGTCAGTCCCCGATAACTATATGTTAAAAAGAGAAAGAGAAGAAGTAATGCATAATTGCCAGTTGCCAGAAAAGAAGAGAAAGAGACAAAGAATAATGAATACATAAAAAAGAATGAAGAAGAAAAATATGCAATAGACTTTTGAGAGTATCTAAAGAGCTGTGAAACTAAATAGATTTCTCCTTTTATAAATAGGATTTTCAAGTAATTTGTCCATTAAAAAAATAAATAAATAAATAAAATAAATAAATAAATAAAAATCTCCTAACCCAGCACTACTCAAGTCTTCTCGAAATTTTTGTATTTTTAGATTCTCACCCCATCATGCAGTTAGAGTGCAACAGAATAGAGATTTTAGAGACAGACCTTGCCCATATTCAGGGATTTGTAAATGAAATGAAGATCCAATGACAACAGAAGTAGAAAATTCATGCTTTAAGGATAAAAATTGGCATTTTAATCTCCCTTCGTTCAAATGATTTTGAGAGTTGCTAAATACACCCACACATTCATGGGGTAGAGAGATAATTTGGAACGGAGAATATGAAAGAACAAGGACAGCGAATCCTGTGTTCCTAGAAGCTCTTCGACTTCAACATATTTCTGCAGAATTCTTGTAAAATACAACAAATAAGAGAAATGTTGTAAAACTTTTTTCTCCTAAATGCTATAATGAAATACAAAACAGATTGCTCTCTGTAAATCTAACATAGTGTGATATTCACAAGACCCCTCCAACTCTTTCTCTCTCTCTGGCTCTCGCTCTCTCCCTCTCGATATTGTTATTTCTACCCAAACAACCAAGAAAGATGAACACGTATTCCAAGTATCAAAAGGACTACTAATTTGCAATTTAGGTAACGTTGCTTTCTCTAGAGGTTAGGAACCAAAATTCAATTAGATTTCATCTCGATGTCTTCTCCACTCCCCTTTAAATTGCCATCAGGGTCGTCTTGAGGAAGGAGGCCGAGTAGCGGTAAAGGTAACAAGGAGCTGAGATTACAGAGAATTATCAAAAAGACCAAGTTGTCAAACTTGTCCTTAGTGACACCAAAGAGTTGGGTAAGGCCGGCACCAATCAGCCCCCCGAGGACACTCCCTCCATTCGATATGGACATTAGAGTTGCGAAAAGTGTTGCTTCCATTCCCGAAGGACATAATCTAGCTGCTAAAACTAGAACAGGCATAAAAGAAGCCTGCAATGAAACAGTCAATTAGTCTTGCAACTAAATTACCTAGAAGATTGATATCTTACATAAAAATGGTTGTAAGAACCTAGAAGAGTGAAATTAACCTATAAACAGTGTTGTCAGTATCTTATAATTCATGACACATCTCACGATTTGATATTTTGTAGACAAATCAATGTGTCATCAAATATGTATCTTAAGTTAAATATCTTACGATGCATGATACAATAAGTAATACATATGATACATGAATACTTAAATCTCATACATACAATATGCGATACATATTTATGCCAACTTCAGCAGGTTAAAGCTTTAAAGTTTTCAAACTATTTGAGAACTTAAATTAAATATTAAAACCAAAATGATGAGTGAAGACAATGCGTAAAACATATTACACAATTATCAAGAATGAGAACAAATTTGAGGGTCAATTTGATTCAAAGATATAAAAATGTATTGAAGTGCTATATCTTTTATTATACACATCTCCGCTATATACTTTATATGCATGAGAAAAAAAATTAGGATAAATTTGATTCGATGATATAATAATGTAATGAAATGTTATATCTTTTGTTATATATATTTTAATTCCGCGACGTTTTATATGCATAGTATTTAGTGTTTTTTTTATTAAACATAAAGCATTTAGTGTTTTGTTCTCACAAGATATGTAGGCCTTGTTTGGCAACTCAATATGTTAGCTTAAAAGTTAAAAAATTGCTAAAAAAACTAAAAAGCCAACAACCTATACCAAAAAGTCAGATTCCCTTTTCTCTCTACTTTTTGCATATCTTCTTGCAAAAAGTTAAAAAGTCATTCCAAACATACTAATTTTTTTTACCTCATATTTTAGCCAAAAAAACAAAAAATTACTAAAATAACTTGGTCCCAAACAATGCCTTAATTGTTCTAAAAGTATTTATTTTTGTACCTATTTTTAAAGATGTTAAAATCTTATAATACACGAGATTTGATAACCATGCCTATAAATATAATTTTTACCTGACCAAGGACTGTTATAATCAAATTATCTCCAATTGCAAACCACTCATCACTTATGCCAAACTTCCGATTTAGTCCTGTGACAAGGAAAACCTGCATAGAAACATAAAAATATATTCACAACAATTAATTAAAAAGAAAATTATAAAAATCTTCACCAAATGAAACTTCCAACACAAACCTGAGTCATTCCAAGAGCTGCACCAAAAACAGTTGTTGCAACAAAAATTTTCCGCAGGGGAACCTTTTTCAGAAAACCATTATAAAGCCCAACACCAAGAAGGGATGCAACTGATGTCACAAGCTTAACACGGCCAAGAAATTCTGGTGTGAAACCAAGTTTGTTTGTTCTGAAATTAACGAAATTCTGGTAGTAAACAGAAAGAATATAGTGAAAATAAATGGGTTTGGAATAAAAAATAATTCCATTGCTGAAAGAAAAAAGAGAGAAAACGAACACATTTACAAAAATCAAACATACGTGAAGAAAAACATCGCAGAATCCGACTGTGGCGTTGATTGCCACAGGAAAATAAATAAAGTCGGAAGAAATACATTTGGCTGCCTGACAGCTTCCCATAATTGAATAATATTATGTTTAGAGCTTTCAAAGAAGCTGGGGCCAGCCAAAGAAAGATTCGATCCCCTTGCCAAGCCAAACACGGGCTTCTCTTGAACAAGCACAGCAACGGCAGACGTTATTAGTGGAAGCAATGCTGTGACACCGAAAACAAACCTGGTGTAACGGAAATAATTGGTTAAAGTGTTTAAATAAAAACAATCAAATTCAATAAAAACCACCAAGCATACCTTACACCATAAGCCTCAACCAGGGAACCACTAAAGTAGGCACTCACAATTCCTCCAAAAGCCGAGGAACCCCAACATAATGATTGAAGAGATCCTGACATGCTTTGTGACTCACCACGAGCCCTCTCTACAACCATCGAATCTACAACCTACACCATGCTTCAGTTTTGGCATGTGGATGACAAGTGCCACAAAAATGAAGGGAATGAAATGCCTCGAAAAGACTAACTAAAGTAACTACCAGATACACAAAAAGCAGCAGCAAATGTAACATAGTTGAGATTAACTTGTAATGAATAAAAATGGAGGCTGATTAATTGCTATCAATCATGCACAACAGGAAGTGCACAGAGGGGAGTGGGGGGTTGGGGTCAAGAATAACAATAAACTAACTATAATAAACCAAGCTGCGTTCTAATGAACAAGTTCAGGTTAAGATTGCATGTCTACACAAAGCTGTCTTCAAGAGTGACTCCCAAGATCTTTTTACTTTATTATTTTTATTTTGGCTTTTCTTCTTTATAAGCCTCTAAACCCAAAAGCAGATCCTTATAAGCCCCTTTTTAATCCTAAAACATTCCCATTGACAAAACCTAACTGATGGAGATCGTGAAGGAGGCAACAACTGAGAGTTTGAGTTATTTAGGAGCTTAAATTTGTTTACGACTTATTTGGAGGATAACTAAATATTTTTCTTTGTTAGCCTATATATAGGCCTTGGTGCAATAAAATTTGTTAGATTTTGGTATAATTGAACTGGTTACTGATTTGCTGCTGCAGCTCTTTCCCTCTCTCTTCTTCCCCTTCTCATTTTCTCCTCCTTCCCTGTATCCAGTTGAGAAGCCAAGTCCAGAGAAATTGAAAGATCTTCAGGATATAGACTGCACAATATGGAGATCTAGAAGGAAGTTCGGGTTTTAAGAAGCACGGACACATGACACAATATGAACATGCAAATTTTCAAAAAATGCTGAGCACAACACGCAATATATAATATATATTTATTATGTGTTATATGTTCTAATAGTATATATTTATTTTATGTCAAATATTTATTCTCATAATCAAATTTATCAACCTTCGGTATGCTACTCTGACCAAAAAATAAATAAAAAACTTCACAAATTTTAAAAAAAGTTAAACACAGCGTGTACCCAACTAGCGTGTCTGACACAAAGTCTAACACGTGTCCAGAGCGTGTCCGTGTCAAACACCAATACATGACCTCTAGAGAGGTGTCTGCGCTTCATAGTTTGGGTTATGAAGTCATGGTAGTGATTTTTATAAGACATTTTGTAGGGGTTGAAGGTGCAGAAGGAAGTTGGTGGAAACAACTTTTGTTATGAGATAGATGTGGTACTACCACAGCCATTTGGGTTCAGGAAAGCTAGGATCAATTCTGCACATCAATGCTTTATTGTTACCAAAATCCATGTCTAGAAATGAAAGAGAAAAGAGAAGTGAAAACAAAAAAGGGCATAAACCATGGGAAATTGAGGCTTGGGCAGAGATTTGCACAACTGCATACAGATTTGAGTTGCTTGCTTATCCACTTTCCCAAACTCCACAAACATCAGACTCTGAGTTTCCTTTTGAATCAAATGCTTTGACCCCATACTTTTTTACAGTTGGAATTTGGAAAAAGAAAAGAAGATATGATTCAGAAAAAACAATAAAAAGGTAAAAAAAAAAGTTAGGGCTCACAAAAAGAGGAAGTTTGAAACTCAAGAGAGGGAGTGGGTGAGTGTGTGTGTGTGTGTGTGTGTGTGTGTGTGTGTGTGTGTGAGAGAGAGAGACAGAGAGAGAGAGAGAATAATTGGTAAGTTTCATGTAAGTCCTCTAAATGGTGATTCCTAGAGGCCATATAGATAATTAGAGCAGATGTCATTAGGAGCGAAGTAATGTGGATTTCAGGGTAATGAAATGTGTGGCAAAGATTTGAAAGATGGTTGGCCGCTAAGCCTAAAAAGAATTTAACAAGGAAGATGGCGATGGGTTGACTAGTAGCACCAAACCCAGAAACATAAATGGCCGATCAGGTGATTGTAGGTTGATAGTCACATGTCCAAATTACAAACATGTTAAAATTGTTAAACTTCAATTACCAAGGTCCCAATGATACATCAAAGTTTTATTAACTTGTACAAGGCTAAAGTGGGCAATTTTTTTATTAAAAAAACTAAGCCAAGAGGCCCAAGACATGATAACAAAAACTACCATTGTCAATGATGGTCACTTCAGAGAATGGAAAATCTATTACCAACTATAAAGCATGAGGACTGAGCATGTCAAATACAAGAGAAGAGGTTACTATAATTGTCAAAAGTCTCAGTGGCGTTGAGTATAATTTCTACTAAACCAAACCAAACCAAACCAAACCAAGCCAAGCCAAGCCTTAAGTCCCATCAAATGGAATCGGCTACATGGATCCTTCTTCTCCACGCGGCCCTCTCAAAGGCAGTGTAATTTCTACTCATGTTTTTTTTTTGGGGGGGGTTAGTAATTTCCACTAATGTTGATTATCAATATGTTCAATCCATTCTAGAGTCAGGCATATAACATCAGAAAGTTAAAGAATAGAAGCATATAAAGTTTTCAAAAGAATTAAACCACATGTAACAATGGTTAACATCTCTAAGAAAGTAATTTTACAAGACAGTACTGCTGACACTTACAACATCTGAGAAGGCAACAGAAAGAGATCCAAGAAGTATGCAAAAAGCAGCACTATACTTGCTGTCAACGAAGGTGGCCATCAAACTCCATGAAAGTGCTCCAAGAAGCCCTGATAGAACCAAGTATGACCTCCTTCGGTACCCAAAAAGGGGGACAGAATCGCTACAATAGAGAAATCATAGTTGTAAAGGACCATAGACATTATAAAAATAAAAGTGTACGATAAGATTGAGCCCCACCTAATAAATCCATAGAGAGGCTTGATAAGCCATGGTAATGCTGAGAAGCCGGATATCACAGCTGTCTAGTCAAGCATGTGTAACTTATCAGTCTTTATTTTGTTGAAACCAATAATGGAGAAAAAAGGGTGGAACTTCAATATCTCATGCATAATTCATAGCCAACAACCTCACATATATTGTGGTTTTTTTTTTTTTTTTCCTTAAAAAATTCTGGGCTTTAAAAGAAAACACAACTGCTAAATCACCACATGGAGACAAAAATACGAATAACATATTAACAGCATAATGCTTTTAAAAATAGCAAGCACGTTTAACTATTTTATTTTATTTTCAGTTTTAATGAGAGAGAAAAGACATTAAGTAAGAGAATAAACAAATCCTACATAATTGATTTAAAAAAAATCTAAATATTAACTTATGAAGATGCCATACCTCTGCAGGATCTAGATGTAGATCGTCTTTCAAGTAAAAACTGACAGCAAGCCTAGAAAGGCCTAAGACACCCTGGACAAAATATACCATAGCAACTGCAATGTTATCTGGAGTTAGGTCCACACCAAAGCAGGTAATAGGGATCATACGAGATCTATTCTTGCGCGGAGCAGTTTTACTAGAAGAGCAAATATCTTCTTCCTTATCGGTTGTCAGCAAATTCCCTTCTCCTGCACCTGGAAAAGGAATGCATAAATAATGTGAGAGAGAGAGAGAGATCATCCAAGAGTATTGGTTTGATAAGAGGTAATAATTGCACAGTAGTTCTGATGTCATGATAAAAGGGCATATACTGTTTCTGAACTCTCTATGGTAAGTTGCTTTTAATAAACTTTATAAAATTTGTTAAAAACCATTGAATGCATTCTATTTTTCTAGTAGGCTCACACTACATTATATATTTAAAAAGATATTTCTCTCCTGTTCCTTATGTGGATTCATATGTAGCATTGCAAGCACATAACATCCATATTGAAGCCCATAGATGATGGCATTGAACCTGAAGCTCTATTAGGAGCTTGAATTCAAGTGCGGATGTTGAACAGGTGGTGCAGTCCCTTCTCTTGCTTCCTAATCCACGGAATTGTTTAATAACCTTTAGATGCCATCCAAAGCCAAGAACCCCAGCCCATCAATGGATATGGACCAGGTCCACAATTGTACCTCATGGTATAAGGCAAACCATAACAAGAGGCTTGATGAGTAAAGATATATGTTACTGTTGGGGATGAATTGTTATTTTCTTATGAGAATTTACTGTGCTTATATTTAAACAGTTTAAGTCGTATCATCGATGTAAACATTTAATATATACTAGGACATTTACTACGCCTTCAGGGCTTTTTTATTTTTATTTTTTATTGTTGCTTTGATTGGTTTTGTTTGAAATTTGGCCATTGATTTAATATGGTGCAGCTACAAAAGATCCCTACTCTTAAGAACGCATACCAATACATTGGGCATTCAGCCCCAAATCAACAATAGAAGCAAATTTAGCCCTAATTCCAATCTCCAAAGAATTCTTTGCTGATACCTGCCTTCGTTACCAGTCCAGCAGCTACAAAAGGTCTTCTTCATGTTGCTGTCTTCTTCTTCTTCTTCTTCTTCTTCTTCTTCTTCTTCTCTTCTTACATTTCTCTCTCATTCTCTTCTCTTCTTCTTCTCTACATTGTTGTCTTCTCTACTTTGCTATCTTCTTCTTCACATGATTGTGATCTTCTTCTTCTTCTTCTTCTTCTTCTTCTTCTTCTTCTGCTTATTCTCTGTTCTCCTTCTCTTTCTCATCGTTCTTTGGACTGATCAGTTTTTTTTTACCCTCTTCTTGTTCTTTTTCTCCCCTCTTCTTATTCATGTTTTATGTTAAACTTTGAAATAATGTTCATTTGTCTATGTTAAAATAGTAGTGTTTGTTGGTATTTATATTTTTAAATGTTTAATATTTCATTTTACTTATGTTGGACCATAAATTAGTGCTTATATTAAATTATATATTCTTTTACGTAAAAGGTGTGCCTCACTTCGGTAAAGCTCGTGCCTCGGTGCACCTATCGCTTTTAATAACACTAATGTTATTGTTAGGGATGAATTGTTATTTTCTTATGAGAATTCAGTATGCTTATATTTTAACAGTTTAAGTCGTATCATCGTATGTGATGTAAACATTTAATATATATTATAACTAAACAACAAAAAATAATTCTTACAAATTACAATATATTTCTATATAGAATAAATTAATGCACCCCTAGATCCTCTCAATCTTCAACTCTTCTAAGTACACCGCACCTGCTTCATGCAAGTAAGAGGGTGTCACATTAGTATCTACCTCTTGTCTTCAGGTCAATATTCTTAAAAGATATGCTGCTAATATGGCACACATTCAATCAAACAAACCAAACTATCCCAGTTAATTCAAATAACTAGTACAGCCACTCATTACACATTAGTTCTGAGAATCTTCTCCACATTGTTGTAATGTTATCTACTGTCAAAGAAGGAACCCCAAAAGTCACTTATAGATAATCTTAGCTCAATGTTCTCGTACCAACAATACTCTCGTAGTTTGATGAACAATAGAAGAATACTTAAGCACCCCCTCTCCTGCAACCACATGTGCTAGAAGAATGGCATTGAAATTCAAAATCCCCAACATCTCCAAACTTAAGTCACCAAGCAGCATCCCATACCACTTAACCAAATGTCCTAGTGTATGGTCCTAACCCTAAACTAATAACAGCTCAGACATGTGTCTGTATGTATATACAGCTAGTCACCCTTTCCACCATTTCCATCCAATCCAATCATAATTCCAGGTGATTTCAAAGCCCATCATCACCAATGCCAAGATCCCACCAAAAAACTAAGTCAAGTGATACTAGAGTCATTTTTTTTTCACAAGATACTGGTTAGTATGTTAATAGTTAGATTACAACGCAGGCCAACGTCTCTCTATAAACTCGAATTTGAAACCTCACTCACCTTAGCACCTAAGTGCCCTCTCCAAGACCACTTGGGCAATTGCCCAGGGTCAACGTCATTCACCAAACATACAACAATTCATATGTATATTATCCCCCATCGTCTTGCGCTGATCTAATTGACAGCAAGTGTATCTAATCACTTATGCAGATTTAGCTACTACATTGTTGTACTAACTACATTCTCTTAGTACAATAAACATAGCAGAATACTAAGCACCTCCCTGTTCCACACGAACATTGTTAGGAATTGACTCTTCCTAATCAGGATCGGTGAGACACGAAACAACAAATAAGAAAAATAAAACGAATCAAACAAATTACGCATATACAAGAACACAAGGATTTATGTGGTTCATCCCTGAATAGGGCTACGTCCACGACTGCTACGGTTTTCACTATGATCAAAAAATAATGCAACTCTCTTTTCTTTTTCATTTTTTGATAAATAGAAAATAATAAACTCTCTTACATCAAAAAGGCACCCCCTTAACAATGGTACACTTGAGGGAAACTCCTTGCCGAGGGCCTGTGTACCCCTGGGAATTAGTCGAGTTTTGATCCGGACACCCTAGTGCCAAAAAAAAAAAAAAAGGGCCCCCTTCATTTAATTAGGGTAATGCAGAAGCAACAGGAAAATTACCTTAGGGGAGGTCCCCAAACCTCCCATTGGATCCAGGGTTCAATGAATAGTACTTATCAGGTCCACAAACCCAACAAACATGCACTAGAGGGATGTCACTGAAAATGGCCCTTAGAATCCACCAAATCTATCTACTTAAGCCTTTCAGCCTTTGTTAACAGAATCTTACGATTCGTGATTCGATTCACTATTCAATTCGCAATTTTTGCAAAATCGATACGAATCTATGGATGAATTTATTTTAAAAGTAAATCTCTAATGAATCGCATGATTCATAATCGATTTATGATTGGATAAACTTTTTACGATTCATGCAATTGTTGAAACTATCGAGTCCGACATTTTTTACTTTTACTTTTTCTTTCTCTATGTTTTCATTGAAAATGACATAATACAACTTTTAATAGCGTTTAATACCAAAATAACCAATATATATATACATGATTTGTTATTATTTTAGTGATTATAGAGTTTTTAATTGGATCCAATCAAATTTAGTCAACCCACCCAACATGCTTTTAACCTTTATTCTTATTTTTTTCCTTTAAATAATCATAATACATCTTCTAAAGATATTTAAGATTAATGTATTATGTAACTCACACCATGAATTATCTATTGCTATTTTATTAAATTAAATATAGTTACATATTATATGGGTGAGATCAGTTTACATTTAAAATGTTCTAGACTTCAAAATAAAAGATCCCAAATAATGTTTTCTTATTATTTAGTCATTGTTACTTGGAAAAAGTATGTATGCTTATTATTCAAACATTAATATCATTGTTAAATTATTGTTACTTTGAAAATTGAGAGTTTGTCTTTATTTACTGTCTTTATTAAGAATGGTTGATAAGAAATGTCTAAAAAAGGGGAAAAGGTAAGCACGGAAACCTTTGTTAACTTCTTACCTATTAAATTACATGATCATCATTCAAAACAACATTTTCATTCATTTAACTTTAAATATTTCATATTCATAAGAAATATTTGACATCCAAGTGTGTAGATATATTTTTTCAAGCAATTTAGAAAAAGTGGCCGATCGCGATTCGGTATAAGGCTATTTTGATTCACGATTCAAATTCCAATTTGACAACTATGCTTTCAGCTCCATCCATAGGACACATTCCATAACCAAAATTCCCTTTCACCGTTTCACCATTGCCAAGAACCCACTAAGCAGAGTCAGTATATTCATATGTATATTCATCAAACAATTGATCTAATTGCAGTGTGAAGTGTACCAAAATCAAAACAGCTCATACTTCACACAATTCTTTTAACATTAAACCTTAAAAAAAAATCCATTTTTCCCATTTCAGCAACTAAACAACTCAAAAAACATAACACAGGATGATTTCAGAGCCAATCTTCACCATTGCCAAGAACCCACCAAGCAGATTCAGTCAAGTGTTAACCAGCATGCAACATTCATCAAACACACACAAATTTCATATGTATATTCATCAATCATTGATCTAATTGCAGTGTGAAGTGTACCAAAATCAAAACATCTCATAATTTACGCAATTCCCTTAACATTAAACCTTTAAAAAATCCATTTTTTTTTCCCATCTCAGCAACTAATTAAACATACTACATATATATATAAGAAATGAAGGCATTACGATCTCGAGAATCCAAAAGGGGTTGGTCATCTCTGTCGCGGCGGTGGGACGAAGCAGGCATCTGAACGCTGAGGGACATGGCGGCGGTTTCCGGCGGCGGAGGAGGCGGTTTCGGGCGAGCTCCGGCGACGATGGAGAGGGGTCTTCGGTGGATCTGAGAGCGGAGAGGAGGGAGGGAGAGGGAGGAGAAAATACTAGGGCTTAGGGAGGCTAAGATTGAGATTGAATTTGAAGTTAATGTTGTCGCCATTAAAATATGCTTTTCTCCTCCGGTGGTTCACTCGCTTTTAGTGTAATGTACTGGATTTTCAACGTATTTGGTTCCACGAAATAACGAAAATATCCCTCACCAATTATGTTTTTACTACCTCACCTTTTTTTAAGGTGATATAGGGTTGTTTTGAAAAGTTTGTGTTTTTTTTGTTTTTTTTATTTTTTTTAAGAGTGCTGTTATTAATATTTTATAAATTATTTTGGATATTTTAATTTTTAGTTTTTTTATTACAATAATAATCTCAAATAAAATTATTACAAAGGATATTATTAATTTTTAGATATTTCATCTCACAATTAAATCTGCACACCTAATACATCATGAATTAGGGTTTATGAGAGCATCCACCTCATCACCACCTATCCATTTTCTCCAAATCCCACTTTCAAAACTTATCCACCCTCAAAACCTTGAAAATCCTTTGCGCGCAATATTCCGACGATAACGGTGACAACCATTTGATTATCTACATTGAACGGTCAAAACATGAAAATTTCTTAACACATTGAATGGTCAAAATTGTTAACGCTTGCAGAAGTTTTCATTTTTTCAAGCTCGGGAATACAGGTTCAAACATTACTTATTTATTCGTGAAAATGTCTCCGAACAAATAAGTAATCTTCGGGAATACGGGTCCGAACATAAAAATTTCTTAAAACAGTCAAAATTGTTAACGCTTGCAAAAGTTTTCATTTTTTCAAATTCAGGAATACATGCCAGAACATTACTTATTTGTTCGTGAACACATTCACAAACATAGATTATTTGTTCAAGAATGCAAGTCCGAACATGGAAATTTGTTAACACTTTCAACGGTTAAAATTCTTAACACTCACAGAAATTTTATTCTTTCAAGTTCAGTAGTTTCAGTTTTGAAGAAGCAATGGGAGAGACAGAGACAGAGACAAAGAGAGAAAGAGAAAGAGAAAAGGAGAGCATACCAACTGTGACAATAGTTACACCGGCAGAGACAATATTCTTATTCTTATTCTTTTTCTTCATGAGTTTTGAAAAAGATGAGACTCTTCTTTTTTTTATTGGGTATTGTTAGGATTTTTTGGAAGAGAAATTTTTTTTGAGATGTGGGGGTGTGAAGGGTGTGCATTCAATGGGTGAAATGGATAATTTTGGTATTATTTGAAGGGAAAAAGAAATTTTAAGAGTTTCAAAATGTATAAGTAGAGGTCCAAATGAAGGGTCCAAGATAATTTATGGGGTTAGTACCACTCTTTTTTTAATTGTTTTTGAAAAAATATATAAAAAAATATAAAGAGATGATATAATTTAAAATAAGTTAAAAGTTTGCTATTTCTAAAAAGGCCATAGTTAACCCATATAGGTGTAACTGGTTAGTAGTATTAATGAAAAAAATAATAATATCATACAGTTTTTATTAAAGGTATATTTATTTTAGTATTTATCTACTTTAATATTAGTTTTGATTATTTTAATTATATTGGGGCAATTTGAGAATATTAGCTTTCTAACTTTTTTTTAAATTTTTTTACTTTTTTAGGTCATACCACCTCTATTTTTTTATACAAAAAAACTAAAAAACTAAAAAAATCAACTTTTTTACTATCTTCCCAAAACATCATATTATAAGAAAAAAATTAGTATAATTATGTTAAAATTGAGAAATTGATTATATTTTTTAAAAAATCTCAAGGGATGTGAGTGTAATTTATTTTTAATTTTTTTTGAAAAAATTAAAATTTCTAAAAACACTAAAAAAAATTAATTGAGTGTATATTTAAAAAATAGGGAGTTTTTTTGATAAATCCATTTTTTAAGAGTTTTATTTCATCCAACCCATATTCTTTTTTACTATTCCATTTGGTCCTATTTGAGATAAGAAGACCAAAATACCCTTTTCATCTACTTATGTTCCATTTAGTTCACATTATCTTCTTGTGTTTCAATAAGTCCTATAGGTGACATAATTACCAAAATACCTCTAATGTGAATGTTCACACCGTCAATGTGAATATTCATATTGTCAATGGGTAAGGGCTCAGCCCATGTCAATCCTCGTGAGTGCTCGGAAAAATTCGAGTCGGGCCCGGCCTATTGACAATGTGAATATTCACATTAACATGTTAACATTCACATTATAGAAGTGTAAAATTGGCCCGCGTCCCATGGCAGCGCGAAACCCGCCCGCGGCCCATGGGCGGCCTGGGGCGGGCCTGACCCGACCCGTTGACAATGTGAATATTCACATTGACATGTTAACATTCACATTGATAAGAGTATAAAATTGGCCCGCGGCCCATGGGCGGCCAAAAGCCCGCTATAGACGCGCCCATGGACCTCATGCTACAATTCGGGCTCAAATAGTCACGGTTCTTAATCTGATCTCACAATGTGTGATGTAAGACTGATAAATCACCAAAGAGTCCAAATCCGGCAAATAGTTTTGAAAAACAGATTTTTAGAAAGAAGTGTCAAACATGGACTGCTTTGCCTGATACAGAGTCGCCACCCAAATGTTTTATTTTTGGGAAATTTAGGAAACTCTGACTCGTTGCCTAAGGCCACATGTCCATCATCACCAAAGTTGCCTCGGCTCAAGAACTTGGGTACGATTGGGGAAGGTCAGCTATGAACACCCCCGCTCGCCCGATCCGAAGATCGGCCTGTACTAAGCATGATATTTTGTTTTGAAAACATATGTGTTTTTATTCTAGTTAATTAGCTAGAATTTACAATGTGATGTGCACAACACATAAGTATAGACTAGATCGCCTAATTTGGAACAAAGCATCGCCTATCTGTTTTGTTTGGAAAATGGTTTGAGGTTTGCTATTCGCAAGTAGGCTAAAACACGGGTTTCGACGAATTATTCCAATTCAAGCAACCCAACCTTCACCCACAGGCATTCAGGCAATAAATCAACTTAGCAATTAGCCTCATGGCAAGCATGCTTTCATTTTAACACTCACACGCATGCAAGGATGCTAAAGCATAAAAGCTCACCTAGTACCCTGAGCGAAACAAGAAACTAGTTAGTAATCATACATGATCCTAGTTCATGTTAGCAATGGCTAATGCAACGCATGCAAAATGCAACTAGGATAGGCTCGGCTACCCTAAGAATGGCATGTGAAATGCGACAACTCGATACACGTATCCAAGTTAGAATTGAAACAAAATGCAGTTAGTATGATGCGCCGAGCCCGATGCATGCAAAACAGATGAATGATGCAAATATCCGAGCGTAAGTATGCTAATTGAAACATGTCCTAAATTAACCATCAAAAGCTAGTAAATAAAAGGGAGAAAGACGTGGGATTGGAAGACATTCACACACGCACGCACGCTTATTACAAATTCGCCCTCTCGACGGAGGGTTCGAATCAATAATATAGACCAAATAAATAATCGAATACTCTAACTAATTAAATATTACAAAACTCTAACTAATTAAACAAAATAATTAGAAAATGAGGTGGCCGCAGTCCTGCCTCGGAATGATGGAATGATGCATGCTCGATTTGTCTTGCTCGGAAACCCGTTACCATGCCTTTATTGTCTCTGTTTGCACTGTTCTGCACCTCTGACAATTGTGAAAATTCTTGGGATGCTTCTGAATTACTCCCTAATCATTATGGGACATCACCGGCCAAGATATATGACCACCGGCTATGGAAGTATGGTAACTGACCAGAAATTGATCCACCGGCTAGACTTTTTTGGTCGGCCGGCACTAAAGATTGCCGACCGACTATTTCTTCCTACAGAATACTGGTTTTGTTGCAACAGAGGACAGACAGTGCATGGCAAGGTATTTTCAAGGCAATGTGTGCATAGCCACTCTCCCTATCATGCAATGAACTCAAGGAAGCATGGCTCTCGGTCTTCGGACCACCAATTACGCATTTTGATGCATGATGGCCAAAGGTGCCAAGTTTGCAAATCAATGTAAAATGAATGCAACGAAAACAAATGAATGCTACACACTCTATCATGTTGGAATCAAGAGTGTCGGCGACCGAGGATTGAGGCGTATTTCGTCACTTTAAGTACGAACACACCTCATACCTCATGTTTGGTTTGACACCCCAAACCAAACACAATGCAATGCATCAATGCAATATGGCTCAAATATGCAAAATGGCTCATATATGCAATATGAGGCTAAGTTAGCAAAGCATGCCAAATGCGATGCAACCTAAACATGCAAATGTAAAATGTGCTAAGCATGCAAGATACAATGCAATGCGACCTAACATGCAAGCTAAACTAATGTAACAAGAACATCAAACATGATATAATGCAAGCATGCAAATGATATAACAAGATGCAACATGCCAAACATGCAACCATGTACAAGGGTGGGCTTAAACCGAAATAGGAGGCCTCAGCCATGTCCCAAAACAGTGGCCAAAAATACCAAAGTTAAGGCACCAATATGCAAGATAGACATGTGCACATGTTGTTACCTCAACGGGGCCACAAAGCACAACCTTCAAACATGAGCGAGATGTGATAAATATGAGGATATGGCATTACAATAAACTCTGAAATCACATGAAGAATGATGCCAAATCGACTACACAATGCAAACATGGCATGTTAATGGAGTTAAAGCTCAAAACTAGCTACGGGACTTGAACCATAACTATGTCAACCAAGCCCCAAATGGTCAAAGCGACTCAAAACAGTCCCGAGGTAGACCAAAATGAAGCTAAAACTCATATGGAACGAAGCCAAAACATGCTGTAAAGAAGCGCACAAAACAAGACGCATACAAGGCACAAAAGGGCAAATGCACTACACCTCTTACAACCGAACATGACATGACTTAGGAAAATAAAATCGGAGTTATAATACACCAAAACAAACCCCAAAACCCAATGAGAAGGTCTTCCAAAGACCAAATCATGGATGCACATGCAATGGTCCAAGTAAGGAGCATGAAACAACAACTCTCCAAAGTATAGAATAGGTGATAAATGCAAGTGTGTGGCCACGAAACATGGACTGAAATATGATGACAAGTGATACCAAATCACTGAAATAACTCAAATGAAG